GGCAATTTTGCTTGTTAACGTACCCATTCAACCAGAAATGAGCTTCGTCGCTGAACACAATTTTTCTATAAAAATGTGGATCTTCCTCCAACTTTGCCAGCGCCAATTCACTAAATTGGAAACGTTGAGGGAGGTCGTGTGGCTTCAATTCTTGCACCAGCTGTATCTTATAAGGTTTTACACCCATACCCTGTCGCAAAATTTTCCACGTAGTGGAGTAACAGAGGCCCAATTGCTGCGAACGGCGGCGAATCGACATTTCACGGTCATCACTAACACTGGCGGATACAGCCGCAATATTTTCTTCAGTCCTCACTCTACGTCTCTCCGTTTAATGTCCAATAATGTAAACTGGGTTCGAAATTTAGTCAGAAGCTTCCCGAATAGCTCCCTCAGTAGGCCGACCAAATTGCCCATAAATTGGAAGCAGTGCTCGTTGCACTCTCTTAACCGAGCATGAATTTTGATAGTAAAATTCAATAATTTGCAAGCGTGGTTCGTTCGTAAGTCGATTCATGGTTAAATTATAGACCAAACTGAACAAGTTTGACAATGACACAAGACACAAGTCACGCGGCATCTGTCAAAAAAGTGTTGCCAAAACAGATACTAGCAAAAAAATCACCCATTGTAACTTTGAATATAACCTGTCTTCAGAATGGACAGTATATAAATAACCCGTCGGGCACAGCGAAAATATATACTTCATTGGCAGCATATTCAGTAATAATTTTCTCACACATCTCTCTCAAATCACTCTCAACTACAGGCTACTCGGCATGACAGAACATATGCAACCCACAATGCGTGTAGTTGAGTCATTCCTCCAGAGATGTGCGTTCACAGCGTCATAGCGAGCAAACGTGTAACGTACTATTTGCACCCCAGAAACTACCTAGTCTGCAAGATGACATTTTATTGTTTGTTTTTGACGTTTTATAGGTTTTTTACATAATACCCCTATCGATAGGTCAATACTGCACAGTTCCCCCACAAGATGGTTGTTTTGACAGCTACTTGAAAAGAGTAGGAACGAGAGTATGCGAACTGCGAGCATTGCAATGAAGAATATGATACTAACAATCATCTACTTGAATGCGGTAGACGTGTTGACTGAACGGAGTATGCTGGAATTGACGCTCGGCAACGACATCAACATAGGTCGTGGTCGTAAGCGCTTCTATCTTTCATCCAAGACCTAGGTCGTACTCTATCTGACGTTTCAAATGGGGGGTATTCTGAATGGCGCTAGTTCTGCTGCGGATCATATATGTCATATCTAAGGTTATGAATAGACAACGGTACTGTACCTTGATGAATAAAAAGCGTCCTAGCGCTCATCTGGTTTTCATGGATGACCGAGTTCTACCATTTCGGCTGGTCGGAGTCCAGATCACCGAGGACTTGATCTGCACGAACACATCTCAACAATAGCGACAGCTACTGGGAAAAAGCTATGCTATTTATTTGGGGCTGAGAGTACTGCTCCCCATATGATCTCACTCTGTATAAGGCCCAGATAAGACCTAGCCTTGAGTATTGCTCACATGTTTGGGGTGCTGCCCGCCCTTACTACATTATACATGCTAACGGACATCCTAACCGTTTCGAACTACGTACCACCAGAACTGGCCGATACGACCACTCCTTTGTTCCCAGGGTATCGAGATTGTGGAACAGTCTACATCAGGCGGTTTTTCCCAGTCCTACTAAGCTTAGGCGGTTCAAAAATCAGATTAACAATGTTTCTGTTAGCTCCTCATAGTAACCGTGGTGCCCTGGCATTTAGGCTTTGCCTGCGCGGCTGCTTCGGTGTGAAAAATTGCTCATCATCTCTTTAGGCGAATACACGGAAAGTCTTTTTCCCATCTATAACTAACAGTTTCGATTCTCAACCACACATGCGCCGCCAAGTGGGAAGAAAAAAGCAACCAAAGAATGACATGCATTTCGTAACTAAGAGGGCTTGCGATGATGGACGGAAAAACTAATCATTTCCTGAAATGTTTTCTAATCTTACGTGAGGCGAAATTTCGGAATAAATAGAACATTAACAATCCCTTCTTTTCTCCTCTACGGAGTGGCATAAGTAAAATTACAGTATGACGTACGCCATATCAGATCTTTACCCAGGCAAATAGAGTGTTCAAATTTGATTTCAAAAATATATAATATGTTATGCACAGACACTGCCAAACCATAGTTGTCAAAAAGCTGAAATTTTTCTAGTTGTTGAAAATGAGAACTTATTGCATGTTTTTTTGTTTTTCAATTTTACAATTGAAAGGCTAAGACATGCGCTATTTCATAATGATGGAGTCTCTATACAAGACATCTCACCCTTAGATTGGTCCGTTAGGGTATGAAGCATGTTTGACAATCCCCATAGTGAGGCGTAAGGCAATCTTAAAACTCCTGTCTTTGTGAAAACTCGCTGATTTAAAAGAACGCTTCAAGAAGTCGTGATGTTCTTTTAGTGGATCGTTTCTGGAGTTCATTATTTCTTGAAGCGGACCTTGAAGGGAGGTTATTTCCATCACAATTGACAGGTTCTCCTCTTCCTCCCACAACGTCAACTCGGGTGTTCCCCAGGGGATGGTCTTGGCTCCGACATTGTTCCTCTTACATATCAACGACCTCCTTTCCTGTACGATGAATTCAATGCACAGCTTTTCTTATGACAGCACTCTACATGCAGGGATTCAGAGTGACAAGACGATCTGTGCTGGTGAGACGGAGAAAAGAAGACTAGCAGCGACTTCCTCTCTGACGAGAGACCTGGAGGTTATCACTGATTGGGGACGCAATAATCCTGTACAGCTTAATCCTTCCAAAACGCAGTATACTGTACACTAACCTTAGGCAGTTCAAAAATCGGATTAACAACGTTTCTTAAAGCTCCTCATAGCAGCTGCTGCCTGCGCGGCTGCTTCGGTATATACAAAATGTGGAGAAGCATATGGAGCCTTTAGAAGAAAGGTGCTCAAGATTAGCCTGACCTTCACCAAGAATGAAACATACCCTGTAGTCCTCAAAGAAAATTAGTTTAGCTTCTTAGTGTCAATAATCCTATATACTACGTATTTGAACAGGATAACTCACTCATATGTGTTAATTGCATGTCACTGGCTTGGTTTGTAGAGAAAAAAGTGATGAATTCTTAGGCTGGCTATCTTGTTTACTAGACACTAATCCTTTCGAAAAACTTTCAGGAAGAGATTCCACTTCGACGAGTGTGTGAACACAGCAAGACATACGGCTCCACAAATAAGATGAAAAGTACAGTATATATCAACAAATTTTGAGCCTGAAACGTCGAAAAATCACCTAATATGTTGTTGAATCAAGTTAACTAAGCGACATATTTATTATTTCTGTTTGTTTTATCATTCATGCAAGGTATTCACCAAGGGGAAAACCAAAAATTTTTGGTGGGGCTACAGGTTGACTCTCTCCAGTTTAACCATTTATTTGACACGCATTGAAATTTCAAATGAATAAATTTGGGAGCTATCCAATTTAAGTATGCATGCCCTTTCTAAGAATATGAAGAGCTGAAAAAAGTTTATTGATTTGTATCAAATGTTTTAAATCAGCTTCTGTTTGGTACAAAACAAATAATTAAATTGCATTCATTGTTGACTAATCATTAGAGCAATATCTGCATCGTCCTTGGTTCGACGGCTTGGTCAATGATCAAGACCATTATCACGCACATCCTGAATAGGAACGGTTTTCTTCTTGGGTGGGGTAGCTCCGTCGAGTGAAGGTTATCCAATCTACCTTTCTCTTCACTGCTGCTATCAGGCCGTTTGCAATGTTCATCCGCTTTCATAAACATCATCTTATCAGCAGTCTCCCGACGATACATCAACCAACCATTAACCACATATAGATTCAGCATGAAACCAAAGAGTCACAAGTTTTAGAGCAGAGTAGGTCCTGCTGCAGGCAATGATGCTTGTGGCAACATATATATTTATATAATCATATAGGCAAGAAAATTATGCTATATAAAAGTTTAAATACCTTGGAAAGCTGTTATGAAGCATCAACACTAATTACCACCAGAAAAGCGTAAAAAATTAAACTACTTTCACATGCAAGCTGTTGCTGTTGCTTGAGGTCAACATTATCACATAAAGGGTTAAAGAGACGGCCTAAGACATACTATACGTATATCAACGAGAGCGTATAAGTATTTTCAAACGATAACATCTTAAAACCTCGTATGTAGGATCACATAAGATAATGCCAAGAATATTCACGCTACTGAATTATGTATGCCGCGCGACAGATGTCTGAGTCTCTGAATCGTTCAAAGACCGTTAATTTTAACGACAACCCGTTTGGAGTCTGTTACCTGAGATTAGATCTGCTGCGATGCAATTTGGGTAAACTGGGAACAAGTTAAGTGAAAGAAAAGTCAAGTAGGTTGAGTTGGTACTTTTCACGCCTCAGCATAGTATTGTGTTAAAAGTAAGTATATATTCAAGTTACAAATGTAATTTGTAAACCTACTGGTTTACTAGAAACGATAAATAAGTTGGGCGCCTCGTCGTCAAAAATTAGCTTAAAGAAAAATCCTCCTCCTATGGGACAGGACTCAATGGAGGAGGATTATACCTGAGAGTCAAGAACGTATAAAACTTGAACGGCAGTCTCTCAAGCATAAATATTTGCTATCCTCATGGCGGCTTAGGCACTGTTCTAATCAAAAGAACTCCAACACGATTTCGACTTCTGTTGCGTTACTTTTGTCACCGAAAACAACTGGCAGCTTCGTTTTGAGGTCGAAGAAAAAGGTACTGAGTGTGTGCTTAGTAGTAAGAATGTGGAGTATAAATTGAGTGTTTTTATTCTTAAAAACATCCATATAACTGATCAATTAATTCACTTTTGGGGAATTTTTGTGTTTATCAAAGACGGAAAATAACACTCTGTGCAGAAACATATACGTATTTTTTGATGCTGATTATCTCATATTTTATACTTTCTTGTCACGCCTTTTGTACCAATTGCAGCTTCTCTGCAAGATTGAGAACATCGCTGTTCCAACCGAATGAGCCTGTAGATCACAAAAACTCGATGGATAAGTATTTTTTGGCCTTATTCGGATTTCTACAGGGTTCTATCCTCTATGTCTATGCTCATGATTTTAGAACCGCCTTGTGGTTGGCTCCTGTCAAATGGCGGCGTTGTCCAATTTTGCTCCCGCTAGGCAGTGCTTGTGTTGTTGGGCAGTCAAAGCCACCAAACGTACATGAGAAAAGGGAAGATTTGATAGGAAGGTAACCAATTTTTCACGTCTTGACGTCTATTCAGGTAGATGTCTGATTAGCAATTGACATGTTTGAAGTTCATAGCCTTAGATAAATACGACGGATATGACCCTCAGCCTAACTAGCGCCATCTGCTCGCTGCTTTCCAGACTACCTCTCATTCAGAACGATTTTGGTATTATCAAGTCAAGCCCCAAAAAAGATTTTCCCGGAGTATCAATGATTTTTTGAGGGTACGATCGGAACGTGAGATGAAGTGTTACTACACTCACAGATGATATTTTTCATCAACCTCAAACCGACTAGCCACTGCTGTGCTAGCAACTGGTCAAGTTGTCGTCGCTTTGATGAGAAAGCATGTACTCTACATGTCCCAGTATGGTTGCCATCGAGTTGTAGTCGGGTTGAGGTCGCAGCTGCTAACGTTCGCGTACTGAGAAGAAATTCGAAAGCATAAGGACTAGAGCACTGATACACAAGCAGTTAGATCAAATGAAATGACCCTGGTATAACATATTATGCTGGGTAATGAGTAATGCGACCACATGGTTAGATTGGAGTTGGATGCTCTCGTTTTCCAGTTAAGGCTGGATGTATGGATATGACAGGTCACGACCGTCATTGTCTGCCTGGGCGGTCCGTAAAACCTTTTCCCGTTAGACATTGTCAAGCAAAAAGTGAGAGGGTAAAAGCGGAAAAAAGGAAGATCGAAGAAAACAGAAGAGCATTAGTTTAAGAGGAAACCCATAGTCTACTAAAATTTAGCGTCCAATTTTTGATCATAGTCTGAGCCGTGAACAGAATCGCGCATCAGAGAGCTGCTGTGCGATTCCGTTTTAAGCTTGACATAATCGCTCAAGTAAGGAATATCAAGGGTTCTGTGTAGTGTCTCACTTGATCCAGATCATGGGGCATTGCGAAGTGGCCCTAAAGTCCTGCTTTGCAGTACTTCGAGACTTTGCATGTGTGTCTTGGCAAGAAAACACCAAGCCGCTCAGTAACGACTGGTCTAATAATCATTTTATATAGTCGAATTTTATTTATCAAACTCAGTTTAGAGGATCTACATAACAGGGGATATGGATGCCGAAACGTAATTTGGAATTTTGTTTTCAACGCTGCTGTATGTTTCTGCCAGGTCATGCCTTTATCAAGGGTAACTCCGAGGTACTTGCTATACGACTTCCCTCTACCAAAACTTCGACTGGGAGGCCGCGACGATTTCTGCTACAATAAATTCCCTACGTTTTCGAATGGTTAATTTTAATCAGCTACTGTTTCGGCCACTCTAGTACTTTCTCTACAATCCTCTGCAACCTATCGTGAACCAGATCACCAGTATACGACAAGTGCAGTGTGGTCGCTTAGAGGTAGACTTCACAGTGGATAAGCCAAGTGACGACATGGATAAAAAATGAGTAAAGGATTGGTCCTACGACCGAACCCTGAGGAACACCGGCCCGTATTGTCCATGTTGACGACATAAGATTGTTGATTATGCTACGAAACTTGCTTTCTTTAAGGAGCTAGATTCAAACGCCAAATGAGAACACCCTTCTTGGATTAGTTTATAGAGGTGGCCCGCGAGCTACAACTTGTCAAAGGTTTTTGGTACATCCAAAAGCAAGATACCAGTACTCTTATTTAGGGTAAATTCTCTGGTTACGTACTCCACTAACCTGAATTTAACATCAGGAATAATATGGTGATCTGACGAGCATTTCTCAAGGTAACGATAAACCACCATTTCGGCAAGCTGAGAAGATGACAACATACTAATGGGACGGCAGTCCTGAGGGAATATCGAACCCATCTTCTTTGGAATCCTGATGACCTCAGTGGTCTTCCTCCCCGCAGTGAAGCACTGAAATATGAGCATCGCTTTGCTTATTTTCAGTTCACTATTGCTTTGCGGGTTAAGTCTTCGAGCGAAGCAGTGGAATAACAGAAAGTGAGCGTGGCTGTCTTACCTATTTTGAACATTGATAAAAGAGTTGCTTTCAGGAGAAAAAGTGCGGAAGTATCGCCGTCGTCCATCACATCTAAATACGAGGTTAAATACATGATCAACATGAAGAGATTAGCGACAACTATTTTACCGAACCTGGATGGATTCATAGACTTGCTAATAGCTGTCAGAATTTGGGATTATTGTATCCTACTGCGCTCAAGAGTTGACCTCGGTGGGTCGGCATGTGGGGAACCTAGAAAGCAATGGGGAAAGACGACTGCAGACAGGCTAAAAGGTTCATGGCAGACCATGATAAATGTTTGACACTCTAGCTGTAAGTAGCGGAAGGGAATTGCCTTTTTGAGTATTACCATGGACAGCTACAAGCTGGATACTCATCTGTTCTTTATTGCTCTGCTCCAAAAGGAGAAAGTGTACTACTAATATTTTCTAGGTTTAATAGTCGGATATCTCAACCTTCATTAGAATATCAGGTAAATAAAGTTTAAAAAGACAACAACGTGACTTTCAACAACATATGTACCGCAAGGCATACTTCCAAGCATAATGACTAATTGTCTAAACGGTAGTTGAATAATTAGTTTAATTACTATCTCGTTAATATTAGTTCTTTTGTCGTATGCTGCCATTTCAACCGAATGTTTGTGATTTGTTCCATTTGGTAGTTTCGTTGACACAATTGACAGACGGTCTACTGGTCTGAGATAAATATTTCGATTTTCCTCTTTCAGCACTTGACGCTAAATCTTATCTATTTACTTCGGCAGCCAACTGTTGCTGGTATCCGGATTTATGGCTTTATGCCCATTCATCGATAAGCAATATTTTATTATCATGTCTACTTTTCGGTAGACAAAAATAATAATTTTAACCTTCGAATATAGTCAAATAAGTACTTTCAGTGATTATGAAATATTTTCTGATTTTACTTTGGATCCGCAGATCTAAACGAAATATAGTTAACGCCAAACAAAGTGGCGTACACGTCATCACGATAAAAATTCCCCGACCTAATGCCTAGGTTTCTATCACAAACAATTGCTCTATTGCAGTTTCATATTAATGTGATATATAAATTGTAAAATGGTCATTACTCTCTTATTATGGTTAATAGTCATATAAACATTGTTATTAAAATATCACATAAGTTGCTTTCTGATAAATTTAGACGCATTATGGGAAATAAAATGTTTTGCAAACGCTCCAATCACTTATCGACATGTAAACGCACTAAACCGATTTCGCAGCGTTGACACATTGTCACCTTGAAACTTATTTAAACTGGGAACTGACATTTGTATTAATTTTGACACTGAATCAATTTGTGGCATTTCAAATCTTTATAAATCCTTTGGCCCCGCATACTGTAAATCAACAACTGTTTGTTTCAAAACAAAATTATTCATTTTACGAGTAGATAAAGGCAATTTTGGTATATAAAGATGCCCAAACAGTTAAATAGTCGGTGTAAGGAACTCGTGGCCTCGTTAATGCACTACTTTGAGCAAGAAAGGGACAACAACGGGCCTTTGTTGCTTTTAAATGCTGTTCAAGAGGTAGGTTACTAATAATTATATGTAATGTATATTAATAATAGTGAAATTTTATTTCATTTTTTGTAGCGTGTTGCTGCTGCTTTAAAAATTAGTTTAAGGACAGTTAGTCGTATTTCCGAGGGTGTGAAAAGTGATGCAAATTTAGAATCGCCCAAGAAAAAGCGGAGTTATATTAAACGTGTAACCAACACAGCGACATTGGATACAAGTGCCATTCGAGAAGTGATCTATAATATGTATCACAAAAGTAAGATCTTAATATAATAACTTATCAGAAATTTGCATTAATTTGTTAACTAAATTATAATGTCATATTACACATGGTTTCAGAAGAACAAGTTACGATACAAACTTTATGGTCTCGATTAAGAGATAGGGCATTATTTGATGGTAGTGCCACGTCTTTAAGGCGGTTGCTTAGAGATCTTGGATTTAAGTGGCTTAAGGACAATCCGCGACGAGGGCTCATGGAACTACCAAGTATAGCTTTGAAAAGGGTGGAATTTCTAAGGCAATACAATCAAGCCAAGGTTGAGGCCTTATACCAGTTTGTCTTCCTCGATGAAACTTGGATATTTCAAAATGGGACCATAGGTCGCTCTTGGCAAAATGGAAACCAAAAAAGCGTGAAAGCTATTAAAACAGATGGTAAAAGGTATGTACTTTTACACAATTTGCACTATAAAATTTAAAACTAATATATTTAAGATACATTATATTACATGCTGGAAATGAAAATGGGTTTATTGAGGGTAGTGAAGCGATATTTTCTTCGAAAACAAAATTGAGCGATTACCATGGAAAGATGAACCAGGACAATTTTTTGAAATGGTTTCAACATCAGTTATTAGAAAAATTGGAGAGTCCATCTATGATTATACTGGATAACGCCCCTTATCACAGCATGATATTGAACAAAGTGGCCAACAATGCATGGACAAAAAAAATATCCAAGACTGGTTGACAAATCAAAACATACCATTTTTAAACACAATGTTTAAAACAGAGCTATTGAGTATTGTTGCTCGGTACATAATGCTTCTTAATTATATATATTTTGGTCGACAGTTTATATTTCTTTTGCTTATTCCTATTCTTAAAATAACTGCTTTTTTAGAAACAAACCACCTAAAATATACGTGATTGATGAATTGGCGGAACAACATGGGCACAAAGTTCTTCGTCTGCCTCCTTACCATTGTATATTTAACCCTATTGAGTTAATTTGGGGCATAGCAAAAGGTTACTATAACAGACATATTGGTAGAGATGGTAACAGTGAAAAAGACTGTTTGGATATGTGGAACGAGGCTCTACAAACGGTTACCCCAGACATGTGGAAAAATAGTGTTCGACATACTGAGCAAGAAATTTTTAAATGGTATGAAAGAGAACGAATTTTTGATCGACCAGACATCGAACCTTTAATAATCAACTTTGAGAGTGATGAAGATTCAGATTCAGACAGCGCTGAAGAAAGAAACTCCGACTAACTTTATTGTACAGAAAAAGCTTACACCAGTAGCTTACCTAATTTTAGAATGCATTTTTCTGTATGAATTCTGTAAAATAAATACCATGCATAAAATTTGGAGGACCCCATTTGGATTTTTATTCAGTACCTTTAAGCTATCAATTAAATATGGTAGTTTCATAGTGTCATCTGATCAATAATTGTCATACTTAATGATTATGCAAGTACAGATCTATAATTTTATTATACTATTATTTTTGTTCTCATTTGAGGTTAATATTGCTTATAAACCTAGATATGTAAATAATAAATTTTATTATTTTACAAAAAGTTTGGCAACAACGTAAATTTTTCAACACACCCACCTTGATGACGTGCACGCCACTTTGTTTGGCGTTGACATAATGTTACGTACTATATTTAGTCGGATTGAAAGTGGAAAGATATAGGAAATCTGAATGTTTGTTGTTTCTAATAAATTACCAGCAGTGTTGGGGTTGAGATAGCAAAAAATAAACCGTGGGTAAGTTGTGTTCCTCAACAATAAACATGCAAACTGTTGCTAGAGTATTACGTTACTTGATATACTGCACCATAAAAATATTGATATTTCCTCGAAAAATAAATGAATTGGGATTCTCTTTCTCTAGACAAAACCGCTTCTCTTATAACTGAAATATGTAGATTGCTTAATTTAATTTTTTATAGTCCATTCATTTAATCTTGTATAAAAAAACGTATTTGAAATCCGTACATTGAAAGAGAACATCCTTAAGCCCCGTGTATTTCCCGCTTAAAGAGTCAGTTCAAAAATTATTACGTTCCATACACAGTTCATACAGTTCGTGTCAAACTGTCTGTGTTACATATTCCTCACATAACCTCCATGGCAGAAGTACGTGAAACTCTAAAACATGAGATGGAAATACTTTACATTACATCCTACTTTGGAATAAATGTTTCCCTTTAAACTTTAGAGGGCACGTTTTGCCCCTCATTGTTTATTGAAGAAAGTAAAAACACTCAATATATTTTTGAGAAGCACAACGATGAGCGCATGCAGCCAACATAAAGCTGTCTTGCGGTTCAGCGCTTTATGCTGAATAGCAGTAGCCATGGTATAGCTTTGTCAGTTTGAGTGCGATAGTCACTTGGCTCTCAAACTTGATTGATAAACTGTGAACTGTCAAAACTAGTCGACGGCCACTGCTACTCGTATTCAGTGGCTGGACGCTCTACGGCTCCCACGTTAGCTGAACGACCTCATTGATATTCCCTCGAAGAAAATTATTCGAAAAAATAAGTTTTTTAACACTTCGAAGATGATGAAAATTCCGTGGGTTTCGTTTACCATACACCTAAGCACAGTTATGCTACTACTCAAATAGTTATGAATAATCTGTACTTGAGGAAAAACAGAACTGTCAGCACTTGCTATAAAATACAGATATACCGTATTTTTTTAACAAACCTCTTCGTTACAGGTAACTTGATCCGGTAGCAAACCAACTTCTTTTAATTTATGTGATTTACGTGCATTGTAATGGAGAAATATTGCTTGGTTGTGTTGATGTTTTAATCAGATACTAATTTTCCAACGCTCTACTGACGCATAATAATTGTATTCTGTTGGATTCTTCTTCCGTATAAATGGAGTACCTTCACACCCATTGCTTATCACTCCGTGACCAGGCCCATTAATAACTAATGTAACTCTCGGGCCTTATTCTATGCTTGTCTGCGTGATCCATTAATCCGTATTAATGTCTCAGTAAATCATGCTACCATTTATTTCTACGCCAAATCTGACGCGGAGGCAAATTTGTCAAACAGGTATTGAAGCAAAACTTGGAACCATGAGCGGTCATACCGAACCGAGTAATTGAGGTAGCAGCTCTCCAGATATGAGAGCAGCATTCCAAGGTAGAATAAATTAGAACAAGGTCGCATCAAGAGAGTTTAGAGGATCGTTGTCCGTTGACATAATTTCAATATATCTTACCTTCATAATCTTGTGCGGCTATGACTACCTGAAACAAAATAATTAATCAATATTTGATTTTTCTCGTCTAAAAAAATTGGGAATAGATAGATGGTGATTGATCCATCCTAGGCATGGGTAACACTGTGCTGAGTGGCACATTTGTGTCACACCTTCCGCGGTATCATGTGTGTTGAAACAACTTGTCGTGACACAATGACACCCTGACACTTTAGAAAATGGCGGAAAGTTAAGTTCCAAGTTTCATGAGCGCCGCTCGGCGTCCCGCCGTCGAGTTTGATTGGCTATTGGATGGCACGGTGACACATGGGTGACACTGTGCGATTTTACTATTCCGGCCGTTCGAGTCATTCCCAGGTTAGTTGTTAGTACGTAGATTGTAGATTGATAGGTTGCCTCGTAACGTAACTGCTTGAGAGGAGTGACACAAGAGGGACTTCCGTGGTGACTTTGAATAATCCCCCTATTCCTCGCCGAAGTCACCGTTTTTGATTCCCAAAATACCAAAACGTGCCATACCCGCGTTTTAATAAATGTCAACGTCGGCACATCGTACTGGATCGGTGTTGCCACAGTAAGCGCATTTTTTGTTTCAGCACCGTACCCGCGTACCGTACATACTGTGTCATAACACAATAGTGTTGACACATTGTTTTGACACAGTAAGCACTGTGTGTGTCATTGTATCAACACGCGAAAATTTGCAGTGTTACCCATGGCTAATCCATCCTATATATTGTCGTGGCCAATAGATAACACATATACGTATAGTCAACGCCAAACAAAGTGGCGTGCACGTCATCACGATAAAAATTCCCCGACCTAATGCCTAGGTTTCTATCACAAACAATTGCTCTATTGCAGTTTCATATTAATGTGATATATAAATTGTAAAATGGTCATTACTCTCTTATTATGGTTAATAGTCATATAAACATTGTTATTAAAATATCACATAAGTTGCTTTCTGATAAATTTAGACGCATTATGGGAAATAAAATGTTTTGCAAACGCTCCAATCACTTATCGACATGTAAACGCACTAAACCGATTTCGCAGCGTTGACACATTGTCACCTTGAAACTTATTTAAACTGGGAACTGACATTTGTATTAATTTTGACACTGAATCAATTTGTGGCATTTCAAATCTTTATAAATCCTTTGGCCCCGCATACTGTAAATCAACAACTGTTTGTTTCAAAACAAAATTATTCATTTTACGAGTAGATAAAGGCAATTTTGGTATATAAAGATGCCCAAACAGTTAAATAGTCGGTGTAAGGAACTCGTGGCCTCGTTAATGCACTACTTTGAGCAAGAAAGGGACAACAACGGGCCTTTGTTGCCTTTAAATGCTGTTCAAGAGGTAGGTTACTAATAATTATATGTAATGTATATTAATAATAGTGAAATTTTATTTCATTTTTTGTAGCGTGTTGCTGCTGCTTTAAAAATTAGTTTAAGGACAAATTTAGAATCGCCCAAGAAAAAGCGGAGTTATATTAAACGTGTAACCAACACAGCGACATTGGATTCAAGTGCCATTCGAGAAGTGATCTATAATATGTATCACAAAAGTAAGATCTTATTATAATAACTTATCAGAAATTTGCATTAATTTGTTAACTAAATTATAATGTCATATTACACATGGTTTCAGAAGAACAAGTTACGATACAAACTTTATGGTCTCCATTAAGAGAGAGGGCATTATTTGATGGTAGTGCCACGTCTTTAAGGCGGTTGCTTAGAGATCTTGGATTTAAGTGGCTTAAGGACAATCCGCGACGAGGGCTCATGGAACTACCAAGTATAGCTTTGAAAAGGGTGGAATTTCTAAGGCAATACAATCAAGCCAAGGTTGAGGCCTTATACCAGTTTGTCTTCCTCGATGAAACTTGGATATTTCAAAATGGGACCATAGGTCGCTCTTGGCAAAATGGAAACCAAAAAAGCGTGAAAGCTATTAAAACAGATGGTAAAAGGTATGTACTTTTACACAATTTGCACTATAAAATTTAAAACTAATATATTTTAGATACATTATATTACATGCTGGAAATGAAAATGGGTTTATTGAGGGTAGTGAAGCGATATTTTCTTCGAAAACAAAATTGAGCGATTACCATGGAGAGATGAACCAGGACAATTTTTTGAAATGGTTTCAACATCAGTTATTAGAAAAATTGGAGAGTCCATCTATGATTATACTGGATAACGCCCCTTATCACAGCATGATATTGAACAAAGTGCCCAACAATGCATGGACAAAAAAAAATATCCAAGACTGGTTGACAAATCAAAACATACCATTTTTAAACACAATGTTTAAAACAGAGCTATTGAGTATTGTTGCTCGGTACATAATGCTTCTTAATTATATATATTTTGGTCGACAGTTTATATTTCTTTTGTTTATTCCTATTCTTAAAATAACTGCTTTTTTAGAAACAAACCACCTAAAATATACGTGATTGATGAATTGGCGGAACAACATGGGCACAAAGTTCTTCGTCTGCCTCCTTACCATTGTATATTTAACCCTATTGAGTTAATTTGGGGCATAGCAAAAGGTTACTATAACAGACATATTGGTAGAGATGGTAACAGTGAAAAAGACTGTTTGGATATGTGGAACGAGGCTCCACAAACGGTTACCCCAGACATGTGGAAAAATAGTGTTCGACATACTGAGCAAGAAATTTTTAAATGGTATGAAAGAGAACGAATTTTTGATCGACCAGACATCGAACCTTTAATAATCAACTTTGAGAGTGATGAAGATTCAGATTCAGACAGCGCTGAAGAAAGAAACTCCGACTAACTTTATTGTACAGAAAAAGCTTACACCAGTAGCTTACCTAATTTTAGAATGCATTTTTCTGTATGAATTCTGTAAAATAAATACCATGCATAAAATTTGGAGGACCCCATTTGGATTTTTATTCAGTACCTTTAAGCTATCAATTAAATATGGTAGTTTCATAGTGTCATCTGATCAATAATTGTCATACTTAATGATTATGCAAGTACAGATCTATAATTTTATTATACTATTATTTTTGTTCTCATTTGAGGTTAATATTGCTTATAAACCTAGATATGTAAATAATAAATTTTATTATTTTACAAAAAGTTTGGCAACAATGTAAATTTTTCAACACACCCACCTTGATGACGTGCACGCCACTTTGTTTGGCGTTGACTATACATGGATTGTTGTAGAAAAACACGTATATGAATACGCAACAATTGGAGTCAGTAAAATATAAAGGATGATTCAGAAAACAGTGGCAATATTTCTAAGACATAAGGCATATCAAAGAATAACATGAAAAGTACATATAAACATGTATCTTAATATGTCCGTTAACGAGATACAGGGTGTTGAAGTTATAATTGCAAACTACCCCAGTGACATAGAAATCGGGAAATTTTGGCCCATACAGAAGAAAATGAGAATCATTTGACACGATCCCATTTTTAATGAGGAATCCACTGTATTTCAATGAATCGCTGCTCTTGGGACATTTTAGGCTACTTTTGGAAAAAAGTTGGTTTGAATATTTGACATGAAGATCACATCATTATATGAGCAATATACATGCTTTGTCCGTATTCAGTCTAGAAATTTATCAACACTCTAGTCTAATCATATTATCAAATTTCCCCGAAATAATTGTAAAGTCTGGTTTCATTGGTGCAAGTTGTTCAAGGGGGTATTTGAAATATGGCGCATGAAATGGGTACACTTTTTATTTGACAACAAATAATGAGAAAACGCGTTATTTGAGATTCAATCGAAAGTGTTGGCAGGAACGAAAAAACTCTTTAAATAAGATTTTTATGTATTTATGAGACCTACAAAATGAGACTACACGTGAAAAGGTCCGACTAATAGCAAAAATGTTATTGTCGAAAAACGAGGCAAACTGCAGGTTTTGGCACTTGTTGGTAATGAGACAATGGTTTCTCGCAGATATTTAAAATCGAACAATTCGTACTTCTAAATAACCACAACAAAATTGGACTAGATTGCTCAAGTAGTCTTTGAGAATTTCTAATTGTTTAAGTTAGAGCTTGAGAAAAGTATTTTATTTACATTAAAAAGTTAATTGTGAAATTCAATTTAACTTGAAAATTTATATTTATTGAAAATTTAAGTATTTAAATTAAAAAATTTAAAATAAGTAAATTTTTGTTTTATTATTTTTAAAGAAATAATTTTTTTATGATAGTTTAATAGTATTGTAAAAGAATAAATTATTTAAATTTAAGAAAAATTAATCTTTTATACCTTGTGTATCAGGGTTTATTAAATAAAATAATTAATTATTATTATTTCGAATTTAAGAGTTAAAAATTTATTTTTTTATTGTTGTATAAATATTATTAATAAATTTTTAGTAATAAAATGTTATTCGTTTTTAAATATATAACTTCTACTTTATTGAACAATATACAGGGTAAGTTCAAATGGAATTTTATAGCAAAACACACTAGTTTACCTTGTCGATATGAATCGCAAACCATTTCGGAAGATAAATGTTATTTTTATGCAAAAAGGGATGGGTTGCGCTTTTTCTTCTAAACAAATTCAAACACTACGTATTTGAAAATTGTACGAATTTAAAAAAATTCAAATATCTGCGAGAAACTATCGTCGCATTACCAACAAGTGCCAAAACCTGCAGTTTGCCTCAGTTTTCGGCAATAACTTTTTTACTATTAGTCGCATCTCTTGACGTGTGATCTCATTTTGTAGGTCTCATAACACTAGCAACACTTTCGATTGAATCCTAAAAAATACGTTTTCTCATTCTTTGTTGTCGATTAAAAATGTTTCCCACAAAAATTGGTGTACCCATTATATGCGTCCATGTTTTGAATAACCCCTTAAACAACTTGCAGCAATAAGATCAGACTTTAGAATTATTTCGCAAACCAGTGGTATTTTCGTCTAATATGATTAGACTACTCTGGGCATTTCAGAAAATATGTTTGTAGGACCGTTTTGGTATTTTTG